GGTCCACAATTACAAAAATGTCCAAATTAATGCTAAGACCGAAACAAAGAAGTCATTAAGCATCTCTGCCATTTCCAAGTTTCCTGTTACTGTTTCTCCCTCTTCACTAAGCAGTGGGCCTACCCTGTCTTTGGTCTTCCTCTTGCTTCTAATGTATTGATAAAAAGTCTTCTTGTTTCCCTTTATTCCTGTAGCTAGTTTGAGCTCATTTTGTGCCTTTGCCTTTCTAATCTTGCCCCTGCATTCCTGTGTTGTTTGCCTATATTCATCCTTTGTAATCTGTCCTAATTTCCATTTTTTATATGGCTCCTTTTTATTTTTTAGATCATGCAAGATCTCGTGGTTAAGCCAAGGTGGTCTTTTGCCACATTTTCTATCTTTGCTAACCAGCGGAATAGCTTGCTTTTGGGCCCTTAATAGTGTCCCTTTGAAAAACTGCCAACTCTCCTCAGTTGTTTTTCCCCCACCAGTCTTGATTCCCATGGGACCGGGTAATAGGAAAAGGAAGGGTAATAATAGTATTTATCTCCCTGTCTTGCAGGGAATAGCATGAGCATTAATAGCAGGTAGTTGATGTCTGCACAGTAGTGAGAGAGAGAGAGAGAGTTAATGAACATCCTGGAGGGGTTTCAATGGAGGCCTCACTGAAGTTTTAAAAACATATTTCCATTGAAAAAAAAATTGTTTTTGAAGTTTACACTACTAAACCCAATATATTTAAAAGAACCTATTCCTCAACCCCCAAAATTTACATATTAAAATATGTGGCTTCTACCTGTAAGTATATCCAATCAAAGACAGAACTCTCAGTATCAGTTTAGCGATTATTATAATCACTCCCAATGTGAATCTGGCAAACTTTGCCTCTTCTCTTTGCCCTAGAAAAGGCCAGAAGTACTATGGAATTCCAGGGGTCCCAACTCCATGGATTGCCTAGATATCTCCCCATTCCCTCTGTTATTTATTGTTCAATGCAAGAAAAGAAGATATTTGCACTGTCATTTTATTTCCTCTCCAAAGGGCATTCAGTGAAATAACTAAATTAAAGGCCTCCATCTCCAGTACCAACCTTGGAAGGAAATGCGTCTTAAATTTGGTCTGGAACATCCTGGCTAGAATAACCAACAGAAGTACCAGTAGAACGCTGGTAGCAGTAAATGCCACTATTTTCCATGTAGTCAGGAGGGTTTCCTGTGTATTTGGCCAGGTTTGCTCTGTAGCAAAAGGACAATAAAATAGTTGCATTAGATTATTATTGATGTTTCATATTTATATTGCAGTAATGCTCAGAGACCCCAATCAGGATCAGGGCCCTATGTTTTGTATAAATACATAGACAAAACCCCTACCCTTAAGGCATATTGTCATAAATTACTAGATCTTTCAGTGTCTTCCATGCTATTTTTATTAATGTGTTTGTAATCTGGATTATTTACCTCAAAATAAAGAAGATCTAGCAGACCTTTAATATGCACCTTTTAGCATTTGTGGAGCTAGGTGCTGAAAATTCAAGATCATAAAATCAGAAAATAACTACATCAAAATGAACATGTAAAATTTAAAACATGACAAAAATGTAGTTCGACAGGCAATGTCAACCTGTGATTATACTGTTAAAATAAAGGGTACACTCCCTCAGAAGTTGTGAACGTAGTGCTATTTTTACCTGTTTTGACACAGTATACTTGAGCTGAGGGAAACCATTCTCCTTTTTGGCAGGTGATGTATTTGTAGTCATTGGTAAGAGTGTAACCAGGATCACAATAGAATTCAACCACAGTTCCATGGTTATAACGCTCACAAGGCCGCGGATGGCAAATATAATCTCCATGAATCACCATTGGAGGTAGTGGACAAACTTGGGCAAAAAGAAAAAAAAGTCAACAACAACAGCAACCATTTCATACAGAATATCTTCAGTGTATGGATTTGACATGACACTGTACACAGGACCAAATACTGCCTCCCTGTATAACTGAGCCCCAAACCATATTAATGCTACTGGAAGCCTGAATTCTGACCATGAATGACCATTGTCACATGTCTCTGGTGCAGTGTGGGGAAGGGAATGCCCATAGCTAGGTCAGAAAACCACATGGCAGAAATGTGCAGGCCATACCTCAAAACCTCCTCCCCAGAACTCAGTGGCACTTATCATGAAGATGTGGCCTTTCTGTGGACCTTTGTTTTTTTTTTGGGGGGGGGGAAGGGGTGGTAAAAGTGAAAGGGGGCAAATCATAATTACGGCAGAAAACTACCACTCTATGATCCCCCTCTACCCTGAGGTTTTGTGGCAAGCACCTTTACTAGGCAGCTGGAATTCTGTCCTAAGGTCCTGTTAATACATAAATCATTAACACTATTAAATACACCTCTACCCCGATATAACGCTGTCCTCGGGAACCAAAAAAAGCTTATCACGTTAAAGGTGAAACCGCATTATATCGAACTTGTTTTAATCCGCCGGAGTGTGCAGCCCAACCCCCTGGAGCACTTCTTTACTGCGTTATATTCGAATTCGTGTTATATCGGGTCACGTTATATCGGAGTAGAGGTGTAGTTAAAACAATAATTCCATTCTTAAACAGCTTATGCTACGAAACCAGTTGTTGTAAAGTATACTGTAATAGTTACAATACAGGTAATATTGCTAAAGCAATTAAAGCCCCTAAAATATATTATTTTAAAGACGGTGTCAGAGTCTGATAACTTTACTCAAATCAGATAGCACCTCACTTTGTGAGCAACCCCTTTGATTTTAATGGGCCTGCTCGGGAAGTAAGGAATTAAATGCAACAGTGATAGATTCTGGCCCTGTATTAATAAAGCATACTACAAAGGGCTATGCAAAGAAAAAAGAATTGTAATATAAACATGCTTTTAAAAAAAGACAGTGTAAGAAAAATAAATCACTTTGTTGGGTGGACAAATTAAATGAAGGAACATTTTTAGAAAATAGCAGTAGCTGAAGTATTTCAATGCATTGCTTTTTTGTATAGCAGAGGAAGCCTCTTTACCAAAAATAAGAAATAAGATTAGTTGACCACTGGTTTGGTTACTGTTTCTCAAAGCTGCTGTCATGATTAATAAAATGACTACAATATTGAACTGAGCGTTCTGAGAGCCTAATGTGTCTGAATTAGCTAGAAGGGTCAGTTTATTTCCCTTCAGAGGAGTAACAAATAACCAACAGAATCAGTGCCCCATGAACAGGCTGCTGTGTTAATTTCATGCATCTGCTATGCAGTAAAGACCTACTGCATAGGATTTAAATAATGAAAATGCCATTTCTCTAAAACAGAATCTCCACTGAAATCACAATTCAGTTGCTTCTCTCTGTGAATCTTGTTACATGAATAATGGATTTAAACGCTTAAAACAAAAAAAAAAAGAAAACCCACAACGAGACATTAAATGAAACTTCAAGAGCGGCTGATTATAAATGTGCAGCACTATCTACTCCCCATACCCTGAAGACAAGCTTTGTTTGCATTTTCGCTAGCAAGGCTTAATAATAATGTGAAACCCAGAACAAGTAATTCACACCAAAGGCAATACTTTGCATACTTTCCAAAGTGGACTAAACCCAGGGGAAGCAGGAATGTTTATTAGGAAGTCCAGAAAAGGTCTGAAGAGTTCTCTTTTCTTCTGCCTAAAACAATTCTTCTAACTGTGGCTCAAAGGAGGGACACCAAGATGACAAGGGACAATGCCTATTATCTAAATCATGGACAACCTCACTACACCAATCTATGAAAGCACAATCCCAGCCCACTACCATCAGACATAGTATGTTTTATTACATACATTTATTGCCATCTTCCTATGGTCCCCTGCTATCTAAACTTCTTTGCAGCTGGGTTCAAAGCAAGCTGTAACAGGGCTGCCAGAGATGTGTCAATATACAGTACTGCTCCAGCCATGTGCAAAATAAAAAGCTTCTCATCACAGAGATCAACTGCTTCGAGAAGCAAATTTCTAATCTAAAGCAATGACACCTGCTGCCTCTCCTGGCGCTCAGAATCCCCAGTCCATTAATGACATTAGGGGCCGCATCAATCTTCTGAATGCACAACACTGGCCTTCTAGCATTCTGTGTTGGCCCAGTAACCAAGCATTTTTCAACAGTACGATTAAAAAGTGTCCATTGCCGGCTCAACTCAGCTACGATACTGTCACAGCCTGCTTATATTGGGAGACGTATTTTATTAAACCCTGAAAACAGGAGCATTAATCTTAGTGTGTTCCTAATGATAAAATTGAAGCTGGTGCCACATCCATTGTAAATGCCCTCCACGTTTCAAGGGAAACTCATATTGCTGCTGCCCGAGAGCTTTTGTAAACAATCCGTTTTTTATCTTTGTAGAAAATTGGTCTTGGGTAATAAATAAAACGAAATGAACTTGTTTTAAAACACTCTTGCCTGCCACTGGCTCTTTTTATTAAAATACTTATTATGGGCAACAGATGGGAAAAGAATGGAGCAGGTTGAAAATGAGCAAGTTAAACTTAATTCAGGCAGTACTCTATTCTTATTTCAGTTACCCAAGAGAATAAGGGCTTTTCCCTCACTTCAGGCATGTCTCACTAATGAATTTTATGCTAATCCCGTCAAAAGAATCTTCAATGCACTTCAAAATTTGCATAGAACACAGGCCTATGGTTATATTCAAGTCTGCAAATTGAGATATTGATACTTGTAATCCAGGGGTAATTAATTATTTTTGTCAAGGTCCAAATTTCTTGGTCAAGGTATAGTCAAGGTCCAGACTCCAGAGAAAATAATACAAAAACAACAACGACGATGATAATAATTATAAGTGAATAAAAAGATGTTGTGGTCCATTCAAAAGCATCTGATGGTCTGGATTTGGCCCACGGTCCGCCTATTGACTACCCTTGGTGTCATCAATAACCTTCAGATTTATAGAGTCTTTATCAAAGCAAGCAAGCTACATTACAAACAACCCCTTTCAATCCATTAATTATGGAGTCTGGAGCAGCCTGTTATATTCCCAGTTCTCTTCACAAGCCACCTTGTGTAAAAAAATAACTAAATGCCTGATCCAAGTCAATGGAAAGACTCCCAGGGACTTCAAATATGCAGGCACTAAAACAGCACTATTTTTAAGGGTCTGACCACGGAGGCTGCTGAACACACTTGTCTCCCAGTCAATAGAGGGTTCTGAATGCAGCAGGAGGCACTAGCCACTTCACAGGATTGGGCCCTACATTTCTGACACCTTAATTATAATTAAAACATGATGGAACTCTGCAGCTATTCAAATTCTGTTTCTTGTAGGCTCTCATGTGTGTTAGAAACTAGTATATCACACCGGTGTCCTACAGATTAAACAGACCCTATCAGATCAAATTTGACCCCAAATTTAGGTTACCAAATGGAAGACAAATAGCAATGTTTCCATGAAACTAAAATGAAAAATTCCATTGCATGTTAAAAAAACCACCCTCCAAAGAAAAGAAAAAAAAAACGTTCCCATTGTGTTTGTAATCCACAGACTGAAGCCTTGGGCTAGTGTAGGAGAGATCCAACAAAATGAAATTGGCAACAAACTGATTAAAACAAACAGAAGTGAAGCTGACAAGCCTTTTTCATGGTCCAAGTTCAGAGAAATGTGAAAAGTAAATAAAGAACATAGAGACACAAGCAATTCCACTTCAAAAATTCTTTCAGCTTTAGTAATCTATGCCATTATTTGTAACCAGGGCCGGCTCTGGCTTTTTTGCCGCCCCAAGGAAAAACAAACAAAATACAGAAAAAAAGCTACAGATATTAAAAGGATTCTGTCGTTTTAAAAGTCATAATGTAAAAGGATTCTTTGTAACACATATAAACAGGGCTGGCTCCATGCGCCGGCCGGGCGAGCTCGTGCTTGGTGGGGCGGCCAGGGCTTCCTTCAGTGGGGCGCTCGCCACTCGGCCCCTCCCGCCGCACCACCTGCCGGTAGGGCTCCACACCGCTCCGGTCGGCGAGGAGGGAAGGATGCAGGCTGCCCTGCCGAGCTTGCTGCAGACCTGGCACCAGCTGGGGCAGACGGAGTGCGCAGCCCCATCCCAGCAGGGCGCTCCCCTCCTCCGCCCCCTACAGGGCGGCCGGCGCGGCGAAGCAAAAAAAAAGAGGATTGGAGGGAATTAGAATTTGCCGCCCCACCAAGCACGAGCTTGCTCGGCTGGTGCATGGAGCCAGCCCTGTTTGTAACATATGTAAAGAATCTTTTTACATTATGACTTTTAAAACGACAGAATCCTTTTAATATCTGTAGCTTTCATTATTTTCAGCACTTCATAATGCTTTTTCAGACTTTATTTCAGTAATTACACCCTACAGCCTGGAGAATCTAAAAATCACCACCTTTTCTGAGAGTTTAAAAAAAAAAAGTTCTTAACTCTTAACTTTAAAGCTTTTCAGTGGCGTGTGTGTGATGCATGTCTTATCTTCTGCTGATTTTGAAATGTGTGACACTGGGTAGCCAAGATCAAATGAGCCTTGTTCCATATTTTTGTTTCCTGAGAATTCAGGTGTTATGGGCAATGGCCACAGATTGTAGTAGGCTCATTATTAGGCTGGGTGTTTTGCAGCTGCACGTTCCAGATGAAAAGCTAAATGGTTAGCCAGAAATAAACTACCCTTTCCTCCTGACAGTAGAAACAAAAAACATGTCTGTCTAACATAACAAATCCCTCCTGGGATACTCAACACTACGGATGGTCAATGAAACTAAGGGAGCTCAGTTTGATGTGATGAGCTTGTACAATTTTTCTTAATCACAGCAGGAGCTAAGGGCTCTAGTCTGAGATATACTGAGTTCCCCCAACTCCCATTGATTTCAATGAGGG